TCACGGATTAATGGCGGGTCGATTTCTAAATGTGGCTCTCGCCTAGCGCCGCGCACATTCTTTTTTCACATTTGCAAGAGCTTCGCGGATTGAGGGCGTGTGGTTTTCAAAATGTGACTCTTGCCTTAGCGCCGCGCACAATCGTTTTTGATAGTTGCAATGGTTTCACGGATTGAGGGCGGTTCATTTTCAAAATGTGGTTCTCGCCTTGGCGCCGCGCACATTCGTTCATACAGTTTGAAAGCGATTCACGGATCCCCATGGCCAGCTATCCAGAAATGGTGTTTTGGACGGGTTCTGGACTATGCGGGTGCAACAGTTATGTTGGTTCGCGGTGTCGAATTGTCCCAACATGGCGTTCTGGCACGATTCCAAATCGTCAACACGCAGCAGTCAGGTTGAACCATGGCTCTTACATACCGAAAACAGTGTTTTGGCATGCTTCAGGGTCTTCAGGGGTGTCTTCCAACGAGGCAGTTCTTTCACTGGAAATGAGCCGTTGTATGGGCCTATGAAGAGTGATCTCGGAAGGAAGGGTAATTCCAACATCGTTGATGGCTCTTTGGTTTGCACTGGTCCTCCTCCTCCTTTTCCCCCTCCTCCCGCTCCTCTTCCTTGTCCTCCTTTTCCGCCTCGTTCTCCCCCCCCTCCTCCTCCTCCTCTTCCTCCTCCTCCTCCTCCTCCTCCTCCTCCCCGTTTGCCTCCCCCTCCCCCTCCTCCTCCCCCTCTTCATTTTGGCAGCAGCGCCTCATGCCCTTAAACAGTGAACTGCAAAAACAGCCAGGGGCGAACTGATGGGGCAGCGAAGTTATTTGTAAGTATAACAGTGGGATGGATTCATCAATGTCAACGGACACCCCGTCTCTGTCGGGGTGTAGGCGTTTGCGGAGACGGCGCATGGTCTTCACACCCGTCGCCGTTGGGGGGTCCGCATTTACGGCCCAGGCGCAGACACTGCTATAAAACTTGCAAAACATGCAGAGGAACAGTCAAGGAGTGCATTGACTTGGTGGCCGACGGACTCCAGTTTTCCCTGGTCCAGGGGGCTCTGCCCAGGACACGGACCACCGACAGGTTTGGTCCTGGACCGGGGCCCTCGGAGGCAAATGCGACACTGCCAGGAGGATCCTATCTCGACCCAATCATGGCAAATTTCGAGAGCAGGCGCAGCAGCGGGAGGGGGCGGTGCGGCTCGCTCCGTCCCTCTGAACTCAAACTTCGGCCACAACGGCAAGAGCTCCGCTCCCGCCAAAAGAACAAAACGCGCAATGTTAATCAGAGTGAGGGGGCCGAACGGTCATTCACTGTCCCTGGGTGCGTGGCTGAAGTGGGATTCCGCGGTGCGGATTCGTGCTGTTGTTGTAGTTGTTGTTGAACATTATTAATTCTAAAGAATAATTATTGTTGGGACCCCTGGTGCACGGCCCCCCCGCCGCGCCTAGGCCGCAGCTACATTTTCATAATTTTTTCGCGAAAGCTTCAGAAAAGTGGATGGGGTCCAGATCCGGTTGTTTTGTTGTAATCCGTTTTCCCTTGCAAAAAACACTATAAAATGACATTTCTTGTTCTAATATAATCAAATTTCAAGAATCCCTTGCAAAAAATAAGGTAAAGTGGACATTCGCGCGCGCAAGACGAAATCCTTCCAAAAGCTTAGTGTTCGGAGCGATTTTAACATAAAAACATCAAAAAACCAATGGTTTTTCAACAAAAAAATGTCAAAATCTCATCCCGCGCGCTCTTGCGGATTCGTAGGAAACCCAACACTTTTTAAACATTTCTGTCAAACGGGCTTTTGCGAGCAACTTTTTCGAACTTCTGCAACAACGGTTGCGCACCTGCCAGGGCCATCATCCCTGTCAAATAATACCATGCGGGACACATTCGTTTTTTCTTCGCGCGCGCACGCCGAAATCTTCAAAAACCATTTGGTTTCTTAGGAATTTTAGCACCGCGCAACATAAAATCATACGAATCGCACCGTAGGTCTTCGAATAACATCTGTACGAAATTTCAAAATTTCTACCCGCGCGCGCTGTCCGAATCCTAAAAAACCAATGGTTTTTCAACATTTATGTTACATGAGCTCGCGCGAGCTACTTTCGCAAGCTCATTCAACGGCGTTCGCGCGCCTGCCAGGGGCCACAATCCCTTGCAAAACATACCATGCGGCACACATGCGCGCGTGTCGCGTCGGCGTCGTCGTCGTCGTCGTCGGCATGTTACCACAACAAGTCCGTGGTTTCCTATTCTAGCGTCAGGAACACGTTACCACCAAAAACCAGTACAGGTGTCCAGTGTTGGAACAGGGGGAAAAGTCGTATACTAAGCTAGCGTCCAGAAAATGTTACCACAACAAGTCACTGTACCCATGCGCCAGTGTAGTAGCCACGGTCGTCCGCAGGCCACGAAGTGAAGTGTCCGAACGTCATAGGGCGGGAAGCTGGGTGTGGGTGGTGGCGAAGAGTCGTTTGGAAATTTGGTAGAGCTTGAACCGGCCCCCCCACAAAGTGGGGGTATTGCCCGCCTCCTATGAAAACCCTGGCACTGGTGAGAACGGAGTGTCCCCACGTGCTAGTAATTGTTGTTGTTGTTGTTGTTGTTGTTGTTGTTGTTGTTGTTGTTGTTTGTTGTTGTTGTTGTTGTTCTTGTTGTTGAACATTATTACTTCTAAAGAATAATTATTGTTGGGGCCCCTGGTGCACGGCCCCCTCGCCGCGCCTAGGCCGCAGCCATGTTTTCATCATTTTCGTGAGGAAGTCTCCGGCAAAACGGGTTGGTCCGGATCCGGTTGTTTTGTTCCCCCCCGCTTTCCCTTGCAAAAAACAATATAAAATGACATTTCTTGTTCTAACATAACCAAATTTCAAGAATCCCTTGCAAAAAATAAGGTAAAGTGGACATTCGCGCGCGCAAGACGAAATCCTTCCAAAACCTTAGTTTCGTAGCGATTTTAACATAAAAACATCAAAAAACCAATGGTTTTTCAAAAAAAATGTCAAAATTTCATCCCGCGCGCTCTTGCGGATTCGTAGGAAACCCAACACTTTTTAAACATTTCTGTCAAACGGGCTTTTGCGAGCAACTTTTTCGAACTTCTGCAACAACGGTTGCGCACCTGCCAGGGCCATCATCCCTGTCAAATAATACCATGCGGGACACATTCGTTTTTTCTTCGCGCGCGCACGCCGAAATCTTCAAAAACCATTGGGTTTCTTAGGAATTTTAGCACCGCGCAACATAAAATCATACGAATCGCACCGTAGGTCCTCGAAACATCTGTACGAAAATTTCAGTGTCCAGAAAATGTTACCACAACAAGTCACTGTACCCATGCGCCAGTGTAGTAGCCACGGTCGTCCGCAGGCCACGAAGTGAAGTGTCCGAACGTCATAGGGCGGGAAGCTGGGTGTGGGTGGTGGCGAAGAGTCGTTTGGAAATGTGGTAGAGCTTGAACCGGCCCCCCCACAAAGTGGGGGTATTGCCCGCCTCCTATGAAAACCCTGGCACTGGTGAGAACGGAGTGTCCCCACGTGCTAGTAATTGTTGTTGTTGTTGTTGTTGTTGTTGTTGTTGTTGTTGTTGTTGTTGTTGTTGTTGTTGTTTGTTGTTTTGTTGTTGTTGTTTGTTGTTTGTTGTTTGGTGTGTGTTGTGTTGTTGTTGTGTGTTGTTGTGTGTTGTTGTTGTTGTTGTTTGTTGTTGTTGTTGTTGTTGTTGTTGTTGTTGTTGTTGTTGTTGTTGTTGTTGTTGTTGTTGTTGTTGTTGTTGTTGTTGTTGTTTGTTGTCGTCGTCCCACCCGCAACCCGCCCCGCGACCCACCCGCGACCCACCCCACCCGCGACCCACCCGCGACCCACCCGCGACCCACCCGCGACCCACCCGCGACCCACCCCGCGACCCACCCCGCGACCCACCCCGCGACCCACCCCGCGACCCACCCGCGACCCACCCGCGACCCACCCCGCACCCCGCGACCCACCCCGCGACCCACCCGCGACCCACCCGCGACCCACCCGCGACCCACCCCGCGACCCGCCCGCGGCCCACCCCGCGACCCGCGACCCGCGACCCACCCGCGACCCACCCGCGACCCACCCGCGACCCACCTTCGACCCAAACCACGTTCAAGGTACAAACCAACATTTTCGGCGCCTGCGGCGGGCTTTTTTTGCATTCCTTCCAGGTAAAGAGCCCGCGACCCACCCCGCGACCCACATTCAGAGTACAAACCACATTTTTCAGCGCCTGCGGCGGGCATCTTTTGCATTCGTTCTAGGTGGAGAGACCGCGGCCCACCCGCGACCACGTTCAGGGTACAAACCAAATTTTTCGGCGCCTGCGGCGGGGATCTTTTGCATTCGTTCCCGGTGGACAATCCGCGGCCCACCCGCGACCCAAACCACGTTCAGTGTACAAACCAAATTGTTCGGCGCCTGCGGCGGGCTGCTTTTGCAGGAGGAGGAGGAGGAGGAGGAGGAGGAGGAGGAGGAGGAGGAGGAGGAGGGAGGAGGAGGAGGAGGAGAGGAGGAGGAGGAGGAGGAGGAGGGGGAGGAGGAAGGAGACGACGACGACGACGTCAACGACGACGACGACGAAAAGGAGGAGGGGGGAGGATCGGGAGGGGGGGAAGTGGAGGACGACGAGGAGGAACATGACGACAATGGGAGGACGATGATGGAAGGACGAGGGGGGGAGAGGAAGGACGAGGAAGAAGAGGAGGAGGAGGAGAAGGACGAGGTGGAGGAGGAGGACGACGATTTTTGTTTCATCATCCATCGACATAAGGGAAAACAAAATCTAGCTGGAACTGTCTATGAGGACACGTGCAGCTATCGTGATATACACTGGATTATCCCGTCGCAGGGAGCTGGGTCCCTATACTCGCTATGTGCGCGCGTGCAGGCCTAATGCTCAAGCAGGGCAGGCCAGGCTGATGGGCAAAGGGGCGAGGTGCGGAGCTCACCATAGTCTTCGAGGAGGCAGAGAAAATTCTCGGCGCACTCAGTGGTAATCGTTCTCGTGAGAGCGTCGTAATAGTTCTCGTGCTTCTGCATTGCGTCATTCAGTGCTACTTCCAATCGCCCCAGCTGTACTGGTGTGCGTGGTTGGTCCCAGACCTGGGACGTGGGTGTGAGCTCCATGGCAATGTCGAGCGCCTCGAAGTAGTTGTGGCTCTGCGTGAGCCCCAGCCGAATAGCGTCAACGATCTCCTCGGGGAACTTGTAGGAGTCGGCAATATTCACATCGTTCTCCAGAAGCCGGAAGGCTCGAGCGAGCCTCGGGAGTGGCGCCACCGCATCCTTCGTCTCGTCGAGAGACGTCTCGGGGAGGGCCTCGGCTGCAAGAGACTCCATGTTCTTTGTCAGCAACTCCATGTTCTTTGTCAGCGCGTCGATCTTGGGCTCCATCGCCAAAGAGCCCTCCTCCTGTGGCATCGGCTTGAACTCGAGGTCTTTCAGCAGCACCATGTCGAGGCCAGGGGGAGGGCCCAGCGTCGCACCAGCATGAAAGGCTCGGCACCGCTTTCTGCGTCTGTTCGCCTGTGCGCGCGAGCGCCGCACGCCAAGAGGCGAGGCGCTACAGCGTTCAGCATGCATCGCAGGTGCAGGTAGATGCTCATCGCGACATTCATGAACTGGTGCATCAGCAGTGGCCGCCCGCGAGCACGGCAGCACTGCGCGCGCAGCGGCCATCCATGAGAGCCCCCCTTCTGAGGGGTGGGGCCAGAGTGGCGTCCGCGTGGTAAGTACCAGCGGCAGAGCAGGTTTGTGCCGAATGGGTACTTGAGGACGACGATGACAATGAGGACGAGGACGAGGAAGAGGAGGAGGAGGAGGAGGATGAGGAGGCGGAGGAGGAGGAGGAGGAGAGCGCCATCGACAGGGAAGGTGGGGGCCACGAGGTCCGCCGGCTTGACGACGCCCGCGTCGCCCGCGCCCACCCCCTCACTCTTATCCGCAATTGCGGGGTGCTACGTACATCTCTGGAACTCCTTCTCTTCAGATGGAGTCCATGTTGAGTGCGATGCGACCGCTTCCTTAGCCGTAATGTCGGGGAAGTGGTTCCCAAGACGCAACAAACGTTTTCGCGAACTGAGACCCTCTTCGTCGATGTCACGGTGGGCGGCCACTTTGGCAAACGTTTTGAGATGGCGACCATAATGGCGCCGCGCTTGAACTATTTCACTTGCATATGGACGCTTGCCTGAGGTGGCATCAGTTTCCCCTAGATTCACGGGCCGACCACGTCATTGTAATCATAACAGACAATCTGAGGGGCCTTCCGCATACAAGCCGGCCCAAGCCAGGGCCCCGAACTCCGAGCCTTGGGTGGTCTTGGGCCATGGAGCCTACGGGGGTGCTTTGACAACCCCGAGGCGTTCCCCAGACTGAGAGGCCCTGACTGCGGCCCACCCCGCTCGAGACAGCTCCCTAGCAGGGTGGCGACGGCATGAGGCGCCCATGAAAAGGTGCACCCAGCGTCCGTCGGCAAGGAGTAATGGAGGGAGGAGCAGCAGCATCTGACGAGTCCGGCAGCCGATCCGTCAACCTTTCCAAAGTCACCCCCGTCGTCGTAGCAGGGGGAGGAGCAATGCCCCCTGGATGCTTGAGGGCCCCATGCAAGAAGAGAGCCGACTCAGGAGCGTCAGGGCCTACTTCGCGGCATTCATCCTGCAGCCATGGGGGTAGACCTGCATCTCTCGTGCATTCGGGCACTCGTAGATGCGGTGGAATAGGGCGCCCCTGGCAACCCCGCGCAATGCGCGGCGGCCGGAGAAACCAGATCCTGCGGAGGCAATATGCTTTGCAGTCCAACAGGCTTGGGTGGCCGAGGCCCTAACCCAACTTCTGGTTTTGCCCCCGACCTCCCTGGGCCCCAAGATGTTTCTGGCCGCGTCCAAGCGCGGTCTGAGACCCGTGCCGCGCTTTTTCCTGGGCTCGCGCCTCCCAAGGGCCGAGCAGTTTCTTCTTTGCGCAAAACCTTGGCGAGCTTCGGGCTGGACGGGGGCAGGGGGGTCTCTCGGCCAAAATCGTCAGTAATAGTGCAGCAATGCGGCGTGGACCAGCCGGGTCTGTAAAGAGACATTCTTAGAACAGAGATGGGGCCTCGCACGGAGGCCCGAGAGTGTTCGCCCGAGGGAAAAACCGACCCCTAACCATCGCGCATTTCGGGCCAGGAAACCACCGGGAAGTCATTGGTTCGCTTTATCCATATTTTTCTGGGCCCGCGAATGAGAGGGGCGCAGCTGCCGCGCCGCGTCGGGCCGCCCTCCAGGAGCGACAAAACGAAAGAGGACCTGCCCTGGGCCCTGGCTTTTGCGCGACATCGCCATCCTTCCCGACGAAACCAGCTCGTGGCCCGAGGCCCCGAAGAGGTTCGAGCGCGGCCCCCGCGAGAGGGCCCGCAACAAAAGCCCGAAGGGCCTTTCGCCCCAGAGCCTCGCCGAGGCCCTTCGACCGTTCGGCCCCGCGAAGGGCGGCGGCGACTCGAGCGCTCATTCTAGCAGTCCGGCCTTTCCCGGGGGCTCGGACAGGTCGGCCAGGAGCGCGGTGTGAACCTACGCGGGTGACTCCGGCGCAGGCTGAGCCGACCAGTGGGCCCATGGACTCTTGTAATTGATAGACATGCAATTGCTGCTGACCATGCCGACGCTGTCTATGGCCAGCTTGCACTGGAGCGCGCCGGTGGCGGCAGGGTGTAGAGCGCGAGCTCCAGGGGCGGGGGCGGCGATGACTTCTTTGGCCAATCCAGTAGCACTCAAGCTGAGGTCATCTCTGTAGGCGCCAAAGTAGCCCCTGACAGGCTCTCGGGGGACTAACAGAGACTCCGACGAGGCTAGCGGCAAATGAGCAGCCCGCCACAATGCCAGCTTGCACGAATAAGGGCCTTCCACACTGCCTCCAAGGGCCAGGAAACAAGCTGGCGAATAGGCGTGGATGGCAAGCTTGGCATGGCAGGCAGGAAAGCGGTGCCGGAGACAGTTGTGCCACGAGGATCTCAAGTCAATGTGCTCATAGTACTTCCGAAGATCTTTCAACGGCAGACGCCGTGCACTGGCCGCTGGGGGCCCCGCGTTCCGCCTTGAAAGCCTGTCTCCACGCGGCGCCCCCAGCCCTCGAAAGGCTTCCGCGGCCCGAAAACCCAGAAGGAAAGAAAGCCCCCATCTCGACGCCTCGTTTCTTCTGGCTTGACCCCGAATGCGGTGCCAACATGGGAAAACGCGTATAAGTCTGAAATTCTCCAGGTTATGTATGTATGTATATATATATATATATATATATATATATATATATATGTATATATGGTAAATCGTCAGAAGAATCCCGGCAATCTGCGCATGGAGAGCGCCCGCGCCCTCCACGACGGCGAACCGCGACGCTAACGTTCGGGGCGCCGCGTCAGGGGGGGTCAAAATGGCGGCAGCGGAAGCCGCCCGCGCCGACGGCAGAGGCAGGCTAGGAAAGGCACGAATCTCAGAAGGCTCCAAGTGGGGCGAGTGGGGAAGGATAGCACTGCCTACGCCTTGACCAAATTACCTTTCCCACAGCAGCCTTGCCCCCAACTCTCATTGAACTTGCCCCCTTCCGCCTCGAATGGGCTGGCGGGGTCGGCAGCCGCAACGCCGCGACGCGAAGGGGTGGTCGTAGCGGCCCGAGCAGAAGGCTGACGAATGTTTTTTTTGCGCATTTGCCCCCCGTTTGTCCAATCCCAACAAAAGCCAATCAGCTCATTCTCTCTTGGACGCCTTCGATGAAGTCACCGTGGCCCCCTGGACTGCAGCCGCGACCTCCCCGACGAGATTCCCCCGATCTTTGAGGGGCAAGGGGTCGCCGGAATTCGCGCGAGCAGATCAAGCTAAGCTGGCGGCAGCGCGGAGAAACTTGGCCCAGGCAGGGCCTTCGGTCTCCGTCATCGAGGCTGGAGGGCGCGCGAGCGCCCCCAGAACCCGGCGGCCGCCGCGCTGCAGGACCTCGCCAAGGTAACACCTGACAGAGCGCAGCTTGTTGAAAAACCGAAGCATGCTGCGCATGTTCGGATCTGCCCCTCGGCCCGCAGGCTCAAACCGACGTCCAGAAGAGCTGGGGTCTGACCCCTCTCCGCAGCATCGGCCTGAGCCTTGTGTCCACGGGCTCGAGAGCCTGCTGGCTCTCTTCGGATCCCCTGGCCCCAATGCTTCGAGCGCCTCCTGAGCGAGCGCGAGGGCGCCGCCCCGTTCGCCGGGGCAAGGAGCAGGGCCCGCAGGGGCATCCACGGGCAGGGCAGGGGGGCGACGGAGGTCGAGACCCATCAAGTCAACGAGGGAGCTACGAAGCTGCAAGGCCGCAGGCCTGTGCGGAGCGAGGGGGGGACTTTCGACGACCTTCGATTCCTTGAGGTTTTTAATCAAACCCGTCGGAGGGGATGACGCTGGGGAAATGCACTTGCCCAGCAGGGCCGGCGACAGAGGCCCCGTGCTCGCTGGCGAAACTGGCCTGTTCAAGCCCCCCAGGCCCCGCGCCCCACTCCACCCAGGAACTCCCCCGCGATGCGAAAGGGTTCAAGGTTGGCCTCCGAGAGACTCTGACTGCGGTAGAGGAAGAGGGGGCATATGCAGAACGGGGCGCGGCCGGGAATCTGCACCATGGCCGTCGCAACCCTGCTTTCGACGACCTGCTTGCCGCATGTGAACATGCCGAGGCCGCTTCGGGCAAAACCAGAGACGCCTCTGCTGACTCCTACCCCGACTCCAAGAACTCCAGATGCCCAAATATTCAATCCAAGGAAAAAGCGATGACTTCAAGGCTTGGTCGGTCGATCCTCGATCTCGCAGCTAATGCTCCTGGGCGGGGGTGATGTGCGAGTCCGACGATTCCAGGTAACCCACGTGGTTGCCCCAAGGGTACCTTCATAACATCAATGAAGGGCAGAGCAGCTATGGCGTCGGCACCCTCGGCTGGGGCAGGGGCCGAAGCAACGGGGCGGCCACGGACAGCCGCAACTCACCGTGCCGGTGCCGAGCTCAAAGATGAAAATTATGAATCGCATTGTAGCCACCGTGCGCCCAGCTCGCTGACGGGCTTGCTGGGCGAGACGACGAGGACAGCGGACGTCGGGCGCTTCCGGGCCGCGCCAGGCAGAGGCAAACGAGCAATGGGAACGGTGCCATTGGACCTTGGGAGCAGTCGAATTTAATTTGGGCGCAGTGGGGTCGAAAAGGAGGATCTCCCTTGCAAAACTCCAGAAGCAACTTGAATGCGTTTAACAATCGCCTGGACCCTGGGACCAATCGCCGAAACTCGAGAGTCCAAACATGTTTCGGGTTCCCAGGAAGACTTCGAGCCTGGACCACGAGTTGCAAGATCAATGGGCCCCCCCTCGCGCGAGCGCGACGGGGGGGCCGAATTCTCGCCGCGCTCCATGAGGGGGCTCCGGCGAAGACGAGGCGGCCGTGCAGCCGGCGGCGCCTTGCTCAGACGCGGCCTCATCAGCCGCTCCTTGAGCGGGCTGAGCCGCTGCTGCTCGATCGCGTTCTCCACCCCCAGCGGCGGCGGCGCCCCCC